CCTTCCCTCCCTCCTTCCTTCCTTCCTTCCTTTTTTCCTTCCTTCCTTCCTTTTTTTCTTCCTTCCTATCTATCTATCTATCTATGTAAAATTTAATGAGCGAAGAAATAACTAGCGAAAAAAGAAAATACATTGAAAAAATTGAAAAATTATATTTAACTATAAACGGTCGGCTTTTTAAATCAATAAATTTATGACGACAAATAAAGAAAGAGAAAATAGAAACAATTAATTAAAGAAGTTAAAATAATAATAAATAGAAAATTGTTGGTTTTGTGATAAAAGAAGTAAATGAAAAGAGAGAAAAAAGAGGGAAAAATGGACGAAAATAAAAACAAATCAAAAACTTAAATAAAATCAACAATGAAAATAAAAAAAATGTTTATATATATTATTTATATATTATTTTATACATCCTTCTCATTATTATCCATTGATTTACTCAAATAAGTATCCACATTTTGATTGTTATATTAACAGCATTTCGACAGTTAAACATCACTGGCTTCTTTACGTGCCTGTCGCTTGTGTCAATCTTCGAATTTCAAATAGGATCCTTTCTTTAATCAACAATGACGGTTTTTTCTCATTCCATTGCCAATGGCAAGTAGAAATCTTTTGTCTGTTAATTCAATTGTTAATACGCTTGAAATTTCTAGATGTAACCGTAAGTTCTATGCTAACAGTTTCTTCTGTTGGACTCCTCGATTGTGGAACTCTCTTGCTTCCCAGTCAAATTTGATCTTCAAATATTTGAATTCAATGTCAATCGTTATCTTCTTAATTCTTCTTCTTTTATTGTTATTTCACTTTCATAGTGTTTTTCACGTGTTCTCTAACGTTTAGCAACCCTTGCCTCTTAGTCGCTTCATTGCCTTGTTTGGGGTTTGATTATTTAAAAAAAATTCTTCCGAAAAAAAGCACAAATATCTTTTAAAGTAAAGCAGAGTAGGCGTTTTTGGTTGACACTACCCGACCCAGGGTTTGAACTCACAACCGCTATGTAGTTAGATCTACTTAATCTGTTGGACAAAATTAATTGCATAACTTATTGATTTCAGTTTGATATTCCAAGAAAGTTACCAACTACGATTTAAAAATGAAGAAAGCTGGATTGTATAACGGTGATTCACAATTCGCCCTTGCATGGAGTATTGCTGCCATATATGGTCTGGCGCCCCTTCTGTTTGCCTCGGGGTTCTTGATAGGCTCCAGAAGCGGATATGCAATATGGTTGGCCCTGTTCTGGCGTCTCGTCTACAGTCACTTTCTCACAGACGCGCCGTCGCCTCCCTCTGTCTGTTCTACAAATACTTTCATGGAAATTGCTCCGAGGAGCTGCATTCGCTGGTTCCCAGACTTCATGAGTTCAAGCGCCCTACGAGGCTGGCATCCCGCTCTCACCCCTTCACTGTCAAAACTCCTAAATGTATCCGTCTCTTCTACTCTAATAGCTTCATGTCTCGCACCTCTCGCCTGTGGAACTTTCTTCCCTTCTCCTGTTTCCCTGTGAGTTATAATCTCCAGCTATTCAAGTGTAATGTCAATCGACATCTCCAGTTGCCCTAATCTATCTACTACCCTCATCCTATCTTCTATCACTCCTATCTGATCTTCCTATCTTCTGTAACCCCTTGCGTCCTAGTGGCTTCCCGTCTTGCTTGGGGTGAAATGCTTAAAAAAAAAAAAAAAATTCAGAACGCTATCATGGACGCAGTTATTCAGTAAAGAAATATTCATCTGATAAATTTAGGCTAAAGTAATATATTTATTTTGTATAAACAAAGGGAAGATAAAAGCGAGAAGAAAGAAAAGCTACCAATTTAAACAAACAAAAAACGAAGCACAAACGAAAGTTGTAAAAATGAATAAACATAAGGTCGAAATGAAAATTCAATAAAAAAGCAATATAGAAACACACACACACAATATAATAGAAACTTGGCTGAATAACAGAAATAGATAAAAATGGAGGCTCGTATTTTTCTATGATGTTAGTGAAGCACCTCCTTCTATAATAGATCAAATTAACACACTCTCCTCCTAGCAAACTCTCGGATGAATAAAATCCCTTAGGATTTTAATATTTTATTTATTTATTTTCTCTATCATTCTAGACGAAATATCCTGCAGCCGGAAGGCGTTTGCCAACCATTCCTTTGAGACTAGTTACGACCCGTGCCACATTGGGCGTATTAATATGGGTGGGTACCTTAGTGTTGGGGGAACGTACCCAACTTTAGAACAACGCCCCGCTTAAAGGGCACAAGACCTTTTTCTGTTGGTTCTTCGTTCAGATTCCGGCACCAGTTGCCCCACCCGTGAAATAAGGTTTGTGATTGACGTCTATTCCTTTATTCTTAGTCTTCCTCACCAGACTCCACCTTCCCTAAATCCCGTCCCTTCCTCTATCTTTTTTTGCTTTCTTTTTTCCCTCCTCCGGCTATGTTTCCTTCATCTTTTCTTAATAGCACAAACATACATGCCAACAGTAAATTAGATATTTTGGTTAGTCGCTAAGAAGGCTCAGGCACATCTCTCGGTGCTACGATTTAAATTGTCTCCTCCTTAATTTCGCTAACATTTAAAAATTTTCCTCTATAGCACTCTGTCTTTCTCTATATATAACGCAGACTAAAATCTTGCTTTGGTATATATATATATATATATATATATATATATATATATATATATATATATATATATATTCGGATTACTAACACAAAATCAGAGAATGTCTCATGTCGAGAATATTTAACATTGAAAAACATAAGGAAAAAATTAATTATTTTTAATAATATGTGGAAATCTCCGCCTTTTACCTGAAGACGGTCACGAGACCAGAAACACGTGTAGTAAAATTATGGAAAATAAAGCATAATATTTTTTTCTAAATAAATCCACATTACAACCAAAAACATTTGCGGCACCTCTCTTCTCTTCTTTTTAATATATATACTTTTCTCTCGTTGAAACTACTACAACCACTTTCTTTTATACACACACACACACACACATATATATATATATATATATATATATATATACTCGACTCTACGGTCGATTTCGACGTATGAGGGTCAAGGTCCCTAAACGACCCTCCGCAGGTTTTGAATTCAGAGCTGTCCTTCTCCTAGACCAGTTACCATCCAAAGCTATAGAACCCAGAATTATCTACCCATAGATGGAGGGAAGAAGAAGAGGATTCACACCTTTCCCAAAGTGAATATAATGGATCAAACTGGAATTCGAAATCAGCTCTCCGATCCCTCACTCCAAGCCGCTAACCATTACTCCACCGTGCCAATCCCTATTGCAGACGCTCACTAAGGCACATTTGTTTTTACTCAACACCCACAGAGCCCACATGTGTCTTATACTGCAACTATTCTGAGCAACCTTAGTTACAGCTTCTGAGAGAGAGCGTGTTATCTAGCGTGATCAACAATTTGAACAAGACCAGCACGCTCAAGCCCTCAGCCACGATAACTTGTGGCTTTGTGCTAGCACAGCTCTCTCTCTCTCTCTCTCTCTCTCTATATATATATATATATATATATATATATATATATATATATATATATATATTGAACTACCTTGATGCAACGCCAATCACCACATTCTGTCTTCTTGAATCCTGTTTATCCTTTGTTTTTTTTCTAAATCCTTCCAATTTTCAATCTTCTCCTTCTCATTCTCTTTCACTCCCCATAACCTCCTGGTGTCTTAGTGGTATTGTCGCCTTATGTGAAACGGTTAAAAAAAATCTTAAAATTAAAAAAAAAAGTGTAATAAAGAATCTTTTACAAACAATATATATTACTGTGTAACATATGATAAAAAAAAGTATGCCCATGACACTAAACTAGGCTAAAAATCACAGTTTTGTGACTTCACCGTTGATACTGACTTCAGCCAAAAATATGAGCAATATTTAAAAAGAACGTTTATTCCCTTGACATCTCTGTTACAGAATAAACTTTTGCCACTTTTGGCAATTGCAATAACGTTTTCTGCTGATATGAAGTGGAAAGATAATATCGAATGAATTGCTAGGTCCGCTGATCAAAATGTCGGTCATTTGTATCGCGCTAGATTGTTTTTTCGAGACAGAATCTATCTTACATATTTATAAATCTAGCATTCATCCTCGATTTGAATATTGCCAAATCTGAACATGTTTTTCTACCATATATTTAGAGATTCTTGATGAAATCCACCTGAGAATCTGTAATAGTATTAATCCTGACATAGCATCTCGGTTTCAGTCACTTTCCCACGGCTGTCATGTAACTTGTCTTAGCCTTTTCTATATATACCATGGGGGAGAATTTCAATATTGTTACTCCATCACAGTTTTAAAACTTAATAGTAGTGCTATTTGCAGTCCGGATATGGGAAAAGTTCTGATGAACTTTCATCGATGGAACTTAATTATATTATAGGCATTTAAAAATATTTGTAGAGATTTCATAGTTTATTTCCACAAATATTCTTAAATTCCTATAATTGGTAACAGAATTCATTGGTTTACACCAACGGATTCCCATACTTAATACTTCTGGTTTTCACTCTGGAGTAAACTTGAAAACAATAGAAAAAACTAAAAATTCTTGAATATATATATATATATATATATATATATATATATATATATATATATATATATATATATATATATATACTGAGTTCGCTATCTAGTGGCGACTGAAAGACTTAGAATCTCGCTATCAGTGTTACATTCAGTGTTTCATTTTATATTTACACATGTTCTGTCACTGATATCGATCGACTTTACCGTAAATATATATATATATATATATATATATATATATATATACACAAGGTGATTGAAACGTAACTCCCCATTTTAAAATACTTATACTTTATTTATATACTATAATTTTTACAAGAAATGGATATGGGAGAAAAGTGTTTTATTTAAAATTCAGTATGGGCGACAGATTTCGTTAGAAAATTCTCGAACCGTCCAGCATTCTTGTCAAATGAGTTCTTTCAGGAACTCTTGTGGCATGGAGGACATAACCTCCTGTATTCGCCTTTCGAGTTCTTCCAAAGTCTTGGTTTGGAGGTAGCAGACTTGCACCTTTAACCAATTCCAAAGGAAACGAATCACGATTCCTAGCTGACCAGTCATTCATAAAATAGGGAGTTAATTTTCAATCGCAGTATGGGAACTGTACTTTTGTCCCTGATAATTGCATATTGCATGAAATTTCATGTGTGAAATTAGGTAGACGTTTATCGGGGGGGCGGGATCGATGGGTGTGGTAGCACGAAGTCACAAGTCATCGTGACCGAAGTTTAAACGTGCAGGCTTTGTTCAGAGTGTTGATCACGCTCTTAGAAATTGCAACGATGTTCCGCTCAAATATTTGCAGTATAAACCACAGGTGGTCTCTGTAGATGTTGAATAAATACAAAATGCGCCTGAACAAGCTTCGGCAATAGGGATTAGCTAGCTGCCCTAGTAGACAGTTATCCTGGAATACGAGTGGCCAGCCATTAACGTAAATTATATATATATATATATATATATATATATATATATATATATATAATTTTTCTATTAATTTCTGCACATCCCTAATACATTATAAAGAAGAGTTCTGAGATTTAACATATATATATATATATATATGATCTAAAATTATTATGATGGACATTTTGTTTTTTAATTATATCTATAGTAGTTTTGGATGTGTTTGTAATCCTTTTTATTACTTGCATTATTTACATTATTTGGATTTTGTATCCTCATCTTCATTGCCATATTCACCACGTTTCGGCCGTTGTACGCCCCGGCATTCTTCAGGCGACTGGAATTTCGATTCAAACCCTTTATTTCGTCCACCGATAGAGATTGTCCTAATTACACGTGCTATGCTTCTTCTGTTTATCTCAGTTATTTCCGTTTAAGTTTGGGTCTAGTCACTGGATCGAATCAATGTCTTTATCCACTGAGTCATTTGTCCTTGAGGATATCTGCATATGAAACGTTGTAAATATAGCAATGAAGGTGAGAATAACAGTCATAACCATCGGCTCTCGTTTTAGAAACATGAGAACTATTATGTAGCGAAGGAATCATATTTTTTTTTAAAAATAATTATAATCTAAGCTTTATTTCTGTATGGAGCACTGTTTTTTTAAAATAAAAACAAAATTACTAAAGAGCCCTGTATCATTTATCTAACGGGTTCTTTCCTATTTTTTACATACCTGCACACACACACACACACACACACACGCGCGCACATATCCAAAAGAGTGATAGAACAAATGAATTAAAAATCTACAGTTCAAAGTATATAATTTAAAAAAAAACGTGCTCAATAGAAAGTCGATCAATATATTATTATTATTTTTTTTATTATAAGATATTTTAATAAAAACATGTTGAACTCGCTACACAAAAGCTTTCATGTTTCAATTCTATGATTGTACTTCCTCAGGGGATTTTGGGTAACTGGTTATAGAATGATTTCTTATGGAAATTTATAAACTAATCGTTACCACTTTTCCTAAATTTAACTTTTGTGAAGCGATTTAAAATGTATTATAATTTCTTTTATTATATATATATATATATATATATATATATATATATATATATATATATATATATAATATATATATATATATATATATAATTAATATATTATATTATATATAAAATAAAATTATATATATATATATATATATATATATATATTTCTGTAGTTCACTGCTACCTGCAAGCAGAAACTTTTTTCTCCTGATGATGGCAATGTTGGCCGAAACTAGTCGAGGAATGTAAATGAAATAATAATAAAACCAAAGAATATTGATATACAACCCAGTGTGGCTGAAGATTTTAATTTTTTAATATTTTTTATGTTCAAAATCTATATCTATCTCGATAAATGGATATAGATAATTAGATAGATAGATAGATAGATAGATAGATAGATAGATAGATAGAGAGAGAGAGAGAGAGAGAGAGATGTTTTTTACCCGATTTTCTATTATGTTGGAATAAGATGCGTTCTTTAAAGGCCAGTATACACGCCAAAATATTCCACCATACACAAAAAAAGGCAGCAGAGAATGAAGGCGCTGGATCTAGATGGTATTCTTAAAACTCTTCCGTCGAAGATGGAATGGTAAACGCAGACTGTCAGACAGACAGAATGGAGCGGTGCCGGGAGCGGGGGCAATGAGCGAGCTATACTACTACTGCTAATTTCTGCCCATTCATAAAAAAAAAAACAACTGTTGGAAGCTGCGGAACTTGAATCGGATTCGTCAACCCCCCCCCTTTCGTCTATTTCGTTTTCCGTTTTATTATATGAAAAAATGAATTTAAATATATAGGAAAGAAGAAAGTTTAATGGCTATCTTTTTAAAAATTTCTCTTTAGTCTTTACTCACCTCAACTTCTCAGATGTTGCACCTTTTGTGTTCATTGAACATACGACAGAATTAGTGATCGAAGAA